CATGTACCGTCCACTAACATGATAACAATAACATAAATTTCAATCTTTTTTTTTTTTTCGTCTGGGTTGCTTAAGGTGTATTTCCCAGCAGGATGGACAGACAGGCAGCTGAGGCCATCTTGTTTCGCTGTATCGTCATCCACCGTTGAAGATCTTTTGTGTTTTTTGTCCGAAGTTGCAAGGGATTTGAACTCTATTTTGTCCATGGTAGTGGGTTTTTGGCCTCTTATTTTGTCCGGTGTTAAAAGGGTCTTGGGCTCTTTATTTTGTCCAGAGTTAAGTTTTTAGTAGTTTATTTTTTTCTAGGATTTACAATAGTTCTTTTGTTCTTTTGTTCTTAGTGTCATATATTTTTGGGGCCAGCTTGTAAAATATCTCAAGTAGTTTTAGTTCCGTGTCAAAAGTTTATAGATATTTTTCTTGTGTCAAAAGATTAAATTGTTCCAAGTGTCAAGATAATGAGTTTTTCTATCCAATCTGTCAAAATTCTTCAGTATTTTCTCCAATGCGTAAATTCTCTTAGCATTTTCATCATGGTTTTAGACGAATCAAGTATTTCGGCAATATTTTTCATAGTTTAATATTTCCAAAGTTTTTGTTCATTTTGTCAAAGATTTTTTTATAGTTTTTGGGTGTGGTGTTGGGGCACCGTGGGCTGGGTGTGGTGTCGGGGCATCGTGGGCTGGGTGTGGTGTTGGGGGCATCGTGGGCTGGGTGTGTTGGGGCATCGTGGGCTGGGTGTGGTGTTGGGGCATCTGTGGGCTGGGTGTGGTGTTGGGGCACCGTGGGCAGGGTGTGGTGTCGGGGCACCGTGGGCTGGGTGTGGTGTTGGGGCACTGGGGGCTGGGTGTGGTGTTGGGGCACCGTGGGCTGGGTGTGGTGTTGGGGCACCGTGGGCTGGGTGTGGTGTTGGTGCACCGTGGGCTGGGTGGTGTTGTGTTGGGGCATCGTGGGCTGGGTGTGGTGTTGGGGCATCGCGGGCTGGGTGTGGTGTTGGGGCATCGTGGGCTGGGTGTGGTGTTGTGCTGGGGTGTTGGGGCACTTCATCTCCTGTATTCGGTTAAAAAAATCATGATAAACATCAACAATAAGGGCCTGACCAGAAAACTTTCAGCATAACATAATATGGATGGATATCTCATCACTCCTCTTCTATACTCAACACCCTTCAAGGAGGTCTCACACTAGTGTTTTTTCGGGCAACTTCATCCAATAACTCATTCTCGACAGCAGATTGAGGACAGTTGCCAGTATAATCCGACAGAATCGGAGTTCCAACCATATTTTTAAACTTAATCTTGTATTTTCGTAAGCAAAATAGCCTCCTCTGCCTCCTCATCCTCTCAGCGTACAATAATTCGCTCGTAGCAGCAAGCATCACTGGGTCTCCGGCGTCCATCTTGGTTGTTTTGAACTGCGATGATGACGAAATCAGCAACAGCGTCATGGCTTCGGCTAATGTGACAACGATGCTATCAATTACGCCGAAATGATGATGTTGATATGAATTGCCAGATGAAAGTTGCCGGAAATAGTGTTCGTGAGATAACGCCTTCTCAGTTAGTGTTCTGACGAGCTACATTCGATACTGTCGCCACCACTCACCTCTCAATAGGCTCACGAGGGCACCTTGCAGAAAGACACTCTTCCCACTAAATGTATTAATCTTAGACCAGCACTGTGTGGAACTCATTACCTCAGTGTTGTCCTTGTGTTATATATCCTTCATCAGCATGTAACCGTCAGCAGGTCACCGTCAGCAGGTCACCGTCAGCAGGTCACCGTCAGCAGGCCTCAGTCCGCAGGTCAGCAGGTTGTTAGTGTTTTGGGTGTAGGTCGCCGTCAGCAGGCTGTTAGTGTCATGGCTGTAGCTGGTCGTCAGCAGGTCGCCGTCAGCAGGTCAGCAAGCTGTTAGTGTCATGGCTGTAGCTGTTCGTCAGCTGGTCTGCAGGCTGTTAATGTCATGGATATAGGTCCGTCAGCAAGTCGCCGACAGCAGGTGTGCAGGCTGTTAGTGTCATGACTGCAGTCGGGGTGGAGGTGTTGCTGGTTTATGACTGCCACTTAACTTATGCAAATTGACACATGGCATTGAAATTATGGTGTCTGTTTTTTTGTGAGTGTGTGTGTGTGTGTGTGTGTGTGTGTGTGTGTGTGTATTTTTTGTGTGGATGCGTGCACAGACACTTCAGAAAGGCAAGTGGGTAAACTCCTCAAGTGGGCAGGTGGGTAAACTCCTAATGTGGGTGGGTAGATTCCTTAGGTTGGTAGACTCCTCAGCTGGATAGGTGGGTAGACTCCTCAGGTGGGCAGGTGGGTGGACTCCTCAGCTAGGTAGGTTGGTAGACTCCTCAGGTGGGCAGGTGGGTAGACTCCTCAGCTGGGTAGGTTGGTAGACTCCTTAGCTGGGTAGGTGGGTAGACTCCTCAGGTGGGTAGGTGGGTAGACTCCCATGGGTGGGCAGATTATTAGACTTCAGGTGGGCAGGCGGGTAGACCTCAGGTGGGCAGGTGGGTAGAATCCTCAGGTGGGTAGGTGGGTAGACAGGTCCCAGGCGGGTAGACTCCCAGGTGGGTAGGTGGGTAGAGGTGGGCAGGTAGACTCCTCAGGTGGGTGGGTGGGTAGACTCCTTGGGTGGGCAGATTATTAGACTTCAGGTGGGCAGGCGGGTAGACTCTTCAGGTGGGTAGGTGGGTAGACTCCTCAGATGGGTAGGTGGGTAGACTCCTCAGGTGGGCAGGTGGGTCGGTGGGGAGATTATTAGACTTCAGGTGGTCAGGCGGGGAGACTCCTCAGGTGGGTAGGTGGGTTGACTCCTCAGGTGGGCAGGTGGGTAGACTCCTCAGGTAGATAGATGGGTAGACTCCTCAAGTGGGTAAGTGGATGGACTCCTCAGGTGGGCAGGTGGATAGACTTCTCAGATGGATAGGTGGATAGGTAGATAGACTCCTTAGGTGGGCAGGTTAGTAGACTCCTCAGGTGGATAGGTGGGTAGACTCCTCAGGTGGATAGATTCTTCAAGTGGATAAGTGGGTAGACTCCTTAGGTGGGCAGGTGGGTTAGGTGGGCAGGTGGGTAGACTGGGTGGGCAGGTGGGTAGACTCAGGTGGGCAGGTGGGTAGACTCCTTAGGTGGGCAGGTGGGTAGACTCCTTAGGTGGGCAGGTTAGTAGACTCCTCAGGTGGGCAGGTGGGTAGACTCCTCAGGTGGGTAGGTGGGTAGACCTCAGGTGGGTGGTAGAGTCCTCAGGTGGGCAGGGTGGGGGTGGAGACTCCTCAGGTGGGCTCCTCAGGTGGGCAGGTGGGTAGGCTCCTCAGGTGGGTATAATTCTCAGGTGGGCAGGTGGGTATAATTCTCAGGTGGGCAAGTGGGTAGACTCCTCAGGTAGGTAAACTCCTCAAGTGGGTAGACTCCTCAAGTGGGTAAGTGGATAGACTCCTCAGGTGGGTAGATTTATCAGGTGGGTAGACTCCTCAGTTGGGAAGGTGGGTAAGTGGGTAGACTCCTTAGGTGAGTAGGTGGGTAGACTTCTCAGGTGGAAAGGTGGGTGGTAGGGGTGGTCGTCCAGGTGTCTCCCCCGTCATTACCTGGTGCCCGGGGGCGTGACGCAGTGACAGTGTGCAGGGAGGTGACACTACCCACCACCACCACCACCACCACCACCACCACTATTACCAACACCACCACTACTATCACTACCACAACCACCACTACTTCTGTTACCAACAGTAATACCAACACCACCATCACCGCCACCACTAAAACCAACACCGCCACTACTACCAAATCCACCATCACCACCACTACTACCATCACCAACACTACTACTACTACTACTTCTACTAACATCACCACGACCACAATAATCACCATTAATAATTCTAATACCACTACTACTTATATTACTAACACCACCACTACTATTACTATCACCATTAATAACACTTGTACTGCCATCACCGTGTACCATATCTACCACCATCATTACTATTGCCACCAGTACTACAACCATCGCTATTAACCCCATCCACTGGTGCATCACAACCACCAGCAATACTACCACCACTACCACCTATATCGCTTTTGCCCCTACCCACCACTACTACAACTATTGCCATCACAACCATTACCAGTACTACCACCATCACCCTCACTGACCATACGACGGTAGGGACGTGGACGGTGGTTGGGTTCTGGTGGGCTGGCCGAAAAGGGCAAATAATGAGGTGCACGTGGAAGGTAAGGTGGTGCGTGAGGCAGGTGTACGAGGCAATCCCATGATGCAAGCAGGAGGCAAGTGCACAAGGCTGGTGCACGAAGCAGGAAGGATGGTGCACAAGGCAGGAAGGATGATGCACGAAGCAGGTAGTGAGGTGCACGAGATAGGTACGAGGCAGATGGGGGTGCACTAGATAGGAAGAGTGATGCACGGGACATGTAGGGTGGTGCACGAGGCAGGTAAAATGCTGCACGAGGCAGGTAGGGAGGTGCACGGCGGCGGGCGGGCACGGGTCGGCCCCTTCACTGTAGCCGGGGTGCTGCAGGGGCCAGCAGACATCCTCCCCGTATTTTTACCTGGCGGTGTCCTCCTCCCCAATTTCCTCCGCGGATATTGGTCTCCGTTCGGCCTCCTCCCCTTCTGTGTCTTCCCTCCCCCTCCCGCCCTCTCCCCCCCTCCCCTGTCTGTATCTTCCCAGAACGGCCGCCTCGTAACCACGACCCCGACAATGCCGCCGCTCGCCCGCCTATCGCCGAAATGACAGGTGTCTTGCCATGCCCCGCACGCAACACACCTGCGCATCCATTTTCTATACGTCACCGATTGTCCACATTCATAACCAGTACTTGGGACTGAGTGTCATACACCTCTGACACTCTGCACTACCCGGGGCACCACCACTAGCACTCACGTGGGTTAATAAAGGGGAGGAAACAGAGCGGTCAGGACATCAAGGTTCCAGTGTCGCCCGCCAACGCGACACACACCAACTGGGCAACATCTCGTTTTCTATACCGCACTGCCACCGTCTCGCGGGTCCCACTCCGTCAGTCGCCTTGTGGGTGTCGTGGTGGTCGTGTCACCGGGCGCATTTCACCACCTCTTGCCTTCCCTCCTTCAGCAGTTACGGCGGTAGGATCCTCAGTACTGGTCGTGTGTGTCCCCGGCGGGGCGGCCAGACGTATCGATCGCCTTGAATTACTGCGTCTATTTGACTGGTGTTCAGTTAAAATTGAATGTGAGTGAAGGTTAGGGGCGATAAATCATATTGCGCGCGGCCTGCTCCCTGTACTCCCGACGGTCCTCTGCGTGTTGTGAGTTTACGACAGGGCAAGTTGTGTCGTGTCTAACCCAACGACAACTTGTGTTTCATCACTATGACTGATCCTGGTACTGTATGTCAACAGTTGTGTGTGACAGTCTAGCACGTGAGCCACGCCCGTCCTTTTGTTGATATGACTAATAGCTGGCAGGTTTTGCCGTCTCCGAAGCTCATAACACTGAGTGGATTTAGCCAGTTGTCGCACGCTCTTGACGCTAGAGGGATGTATCGTGTTGTGCGCTAGCGATTAAATCTCTAGTGTCTGGAGCTGTTGACATTGGGAAGATGTATCGTGTCGTAAGTTCAATACTAACATACTGATCTTCTGTATCGTAAGTTTTTGGCGTTAGAGGGACGAGTTGGTGTTGGCAACTCGCAAAACTGGACGGATCTAATGAGTTGTACGTTCCTAACATCGTATCACTTGGTATCCTACAGTTGTTCTTTGTCTGTGGATGTGTTACAGGTGACAATTGGCATATCTGATATTTTAAGTGTAAAAATCATTATTTAATGTATGCCAACTGATATTTTCATAAAGCAGAAATGATAATTAATCCACAATTATCACAGTGTTTCCGCAGATCTAGTAAATTAAGAGAGAGAAAATAGTTCGATGAAGGTGTGAACAATGAACCGAATTAATCCACAGCAGCACATCACAATGATGCGTAGTGAACACAAGTGAACAAACACGGGACTAGGCCTATATCCTAGCAGCAGGCTCGTCCTGCTCTAGGCCTACGTCTTGGGACACACTACTTGGCGTGTCTCGGAGGCCAAGTGGAAAATTATATTGCCTCCGAACACCCGAGGCTAGGGTTTCGAACTGGTGCCTCGAGCTGGTTCGCCGGGGTGTGAAGCTGGTTTAGTTCACTTGGGGTTTGATCAGCTTCTCCCTATGTTTTGCACTGGTTCACCCGGTATCTGAAGCTGTTGCCATCAGTGTTTAACAAGCTTCATTAAGTGTCTTGACCAGCTTCACTCAGTGTCTGGAGATTATTCTCCAGGTGGTTCGAACATCAACAACCAAGCTTTACGGGCTACATTACTGAGTGTCTGGGTGCTGGTCCACCTGGTGTTGGACCAGCTTCACCAGGTCTCGAACTACATCGTCAAGTCTCGGTAACTGGACACAGCCGTCGCCACCACAGGTAAACACAGTATTGTGTATTGTGAATTATATTTTTCATTCATTCAAGAGCGACTGCTCAGGTACAGATACGAGTACAGGTATACAGTAGATGAAAACACAGGTGCAGGTACAAGTACAGATACAGAGCAAGAACAGATAAAGGTAGAAAGACAAGTATAGTTACAAGTAGAGAGACATGTACAGGTTCAGAGACAAGTACAGATACAGAGACGACTACTGGTACAGATACAAGTACAGGTATAGATTAAAGAACAGGTATAGATACAAGTATAGGTATAGATACAAGTACAGGCATGGATCAGGAACAGGTACAGATACGAGTTCAGGTACAAAATCGAATACAGATACGAGAACAGGTACAAATACGAGTACAGATAAGAGAACAGTTACATGTATTTCAATATGATCAAATTTACACAAATAGTTACCGAGATTAATATACTACCTTACATTACATAACGACGGCAATGTCACACAGTATTTCGCAATCGTTGAACTCACCATAATGTCATTGAAAGTTTATTTAGCCAGAAAAATACAGTTACAGAGTGGACAATAATAACACTATTGACATGGCTGTGTGGAATTAAAGTTTAACAACCTTAGACCCTAACGTAACTTAAAAGGAGTTAAATCAAAACCTTCAGAGACTTTCCTATAGCATTAGAGAATTAACAACTAAACAACCTAAAAGCCACTATTGTAACATAGCTTTAGAGGGGTTAAAGCTAAACCTTCCAAGAATTTATCATAGAGGTAGCTTTAGAGAATTGAAAGCTGAACCTTCCAAGATTCTTCCATAGTTCTAGAGTAGTAAAAGGTTTATCACACCAACAGCTGAAGGATACATCAACTTCGCTTGGTTTCATTATAAGGTTTCTATACACGCTCTACCTGAGGTCATTAGAAAAAGTCTTAAATAACGTCGACTCTTCTGCTTCTCGGGAATATAACTTCTTCTTCTCATTTAATTGTGTCTAAGGATGAAATAACTATTAGATAGACATTTTTTAAGCTTTTAAGTCGAAGTTGACCACAACGACTCATCAAGCTGGAGGTCAGATTACTGTGAGTGTTAAGACGACCTGAAGTGCGAAGGTACTCCACTCACAACACACACTAACTTTCCTTTAACATTACAGAGATTTAGATTAACAATATTTCTTTATTTTAATACTGTCATCTAACTGTTGCTCGGTGAGGGTATCTGGTGAAGGTTGAATCTTGGTGCTTCTCTCTGCGTTATTTGTGTGACTTGGCGTACGTCAGCCACTCAGGTACATTCTTGCATGTACTGTACAGCTACAAGAAAAATTCTACATACAGCCACCTGAGAATCTTGATACAGGTATATTAAATTAGAGACGGATTCTGTACAAATTAGTGCAAACTCTGAACTTAGTAAATGCACAAATAAATTGTCACGCTGACATGAAGGTGAATGACAACAACTTTTTCATTATTCTACACAGAAGGCTGATGGGGGGAGCTTGTTAAATGGTCATTTGTGATTTAATATTTTATGTTGGACAACTTTAGGAACAGTTGTTTCATTACAGTGACTCAGGTTTAATGGAGTTTAGAGACATATTCATTGTATGGATGACGCTGTGTGTTTGTGTGTAGGTTCAGCAGGTTAAAGGGACGTGTTTGATCATATCTAGGTTAAGGCACCATCATAAACCATGGGTGTCTGTTTTAGTTAATTTATGTTTTATCACACATATGAGGTAAGGCGTCAACTGCTGTATACACTATAGGGTCAACATTCCATCACTATGTCTGTACTCTTAACTAAAACTTGTACGTGTGCTGTTGATTCTGGATGAACCTTATAAATATATTATTACTCAGTGAAGTTACTAGTAACATGAGAAACTTATTAACTACATTACATCAGTAGATTGAGGTAGAAGACAGCCAAGGCAACAATATTTTCCTGGTATAATTTTATATGTAAAATTGTAGGTATTATAATCCTATTTTTCTTATGTTTCCCTCGATGATGTTTGACAGTGGCGGTGTACATTTTTGTGATATATATTGTGGATACAGATAATGAAAAAGGTTCTGTAATAATTTCTGAATTTATTGAAAAGAGGAAATCCCTTTCAATTCGCATGTCACCAAAATCTAAAATAAATATTTATCGAATATTTACAAATTTTCACACTAATGCCAGGGAAACGGAAAGACTATTTTATACCATTACGAGGAGGAAATAGTTTTATTATTGAATGATACCAGTGATATTAAATAAGGTATTACATTACTTATAAGTTAGAGGCTTTTTGGTACCACTGCTGGGAAAGAAGTAAGATATGTACCACTTTAGCTCTGGGATGAGTAAGGAATACTTGACTGTAACTAAGGAAATACAATAGTTCACACTAGTATTGGGCTGACATCAGGAATTGTTAATATTTGCTAACGAAAGTAAGGAAAATAAATCATGTTTATGTTAGTAAAAGGGAAAAGGAAATACCTGGATCTGTTTACACAAGTAGCTACCAGAGATGATTACAAGATAAAATATTTTTTATAACAGTAGTACAATGCCATTTTTGTTAGACTAGGACAATGGAAAAGTAAGATTTATTTAAAGTACTAGTGAGAAAAATCTAATTTTCCCATTTTATTCTAAGTAAAGATTAAGAAATTTTTCACCCTAGAACTAAGGAAAATTATGACAATTTTCACAGTAGTACTAGATAGAAGATAAAGAATCGTTTTACAGGAATATCAAACTATAATTTATCCCACAAACACTATGGAGAAATACTGACTTTTTATGCTTGTCTTAGGGAAATATTGGGATTTTTTACACTAGTTTTGGTTACGAATATGAAAATTTCCATACTAATGTTATGGAAACACACTGAAAATTTTACATTAGTATTCCTGAAAAATATGAAATTTTCTACCTTAGTATTGGAATTTTTTTTCACGTCATATAATCTTGATGAGAACCAGGAAAATTTTCACACTAGAATTAGGGGAAAACATGAAAGTTTTAATATCAGTGTTGGTGGAAATTAGATAACTTTTCCTCAATAAAACAAATATTAAACATGATGATTTACCAGTGTGTTTTGGCCCGGCAGTATGTCTCTACCTATATATCTGTCTATTTCTGTCTGTCTCTCTGTCAATCTATCTGTATCTATCTATCTATTTACCTGTCTTTGTGTATCTATCTGTTTGTCTGTCTATCTACCCATCTATCTGTTTATCTATTACCTACCTGTCTATCTATTCAAGTACATATCTATCTGTCTATGTATCAATCTATCATTCAATCTACCCACCTGTCGATCTAAGTACTGTATATATCTATCTGTCTATCTCTTTGTTAATCAGCCTATCTATCGAGCTGTCTATTCATCTACGTTATTTTCAACCCTTGTAGGAATTATTTACATCATAATGTCACGTAGTTATAATTGTTGTAGTTATTGTTGTTGCTCTGGTTGCTGTTGTAGTTGTTTTTTGTTGTTGCAGTTATAATTGTTGGCGTTGTCATTGTAATTGTTGCGATTGTTGTTGTTGTTGTTGTTACGGTTCTTGTTTATAATCTTGTTGCAGATATTGTTGATGTTATTGTTTTTGTTGCTATTCCTGTCATTGTTGTTGTTGTTGGTCATTGGAGTGCAAGGTCAGAGGGTTCGGGGGGGGGGGGGCCCTCACTGTTTGTATGATTACTATCATACCTGAGGGTGGCTGAACCACCCCCACCCGCCACCTCCGCGTGCCTCGCCCTCCCCGCCCCTCCCCGCCCTACCCTACCTCGCCCCACTCCACTGATGATAATTTATATAATTAAGAAGTCATTCATCCATATGCAACAAAGAAGTCGTTCTTCTATAGGTAAAGGAAAAAGTCGTTCCTCTATAGATAAAAGAAAAAGTCGTTCCTCTATAGGTAAAGAAAAAAGTCATTCCTCTATAGGTAAAGAAAAAAGTCGTTCCTCCATAGGTAAAGAACAAGGTCGTCCCTCAAGGTAATGAAAAAGTCGTTCCTCTATAGGCAATTAAAACAGTCGTTCCTCTATAGGTAAAGGAAAAAGTATTTCCTCTATAGGTAAAGAAAAGTAATTCTATAGGGAAAGAAAGAAGTCGTTCCTGTATAGGTAAAGGAAAAAGTAATTTTTCTATAGGAAAAGAAAGTAGTCGTCCCTCTATAGGTAATGAAAAGTAATTCTATAGGGAAGGAAAGAAGTCGTTCCTCTATAGGTAAAGGAAAAAGTAATTCTTCTATAGGAAAAGAAAGAAGTCGTCCCTCTATAGGTAAAGAAAAGTAATTCTATAGGGAAGGAAAGAAGTCGTTCCTCTATAGTTAAAGGAAAAAGTAATTCTTCCATAGGAAAAGAAAGAAGTCGTCCCTCTATAGGTAATGAAAAAGTCGTTCCTCTATAGGTAAAGAAAAAGTAGTTCCTCTATAGGTAAATAAAAAAAGTCGTCCCTCCATAGGAAATAAAAAGTCGTTCCTCTATAGGTAAACAAATAGTCGTTCCTTTATAGATAGAGAAAAAAGTCGTTCCTCTATAGGTAAACAAAAAGCCATTCCTCTATAGGTAATGAAAAAGTCGTTCCTCTGTAGGTAAAGAAAAAATCGTCCCTTCATAGGCAATGTAAAAGTCGTTCCTCTATAGGTAAACTAAAAGGTTCCTCTATAGGTAAACAAGTCATTCCTCTATAGGTAAACAAAAAGTAATTCCTCTATAGGTAAACAAAAAGTCGTTCTTCTATAGGTAAAGAAAAAAGTCGTTCCTCTATAGATAAACAAAAAGTCGTTCCTTGAATAAAAGATGTTAACCCATGAGAGATAAATATTCATAATCATCTGAGCCAATAATGTTTTTTACACTAATGAAGAATTAAATAAAAAATAGTTAAACAATATGGAATGAAAACAAATATCAATTACTTGTTTAATCGTTATGGGTAATGAACAAACTGCATACATTAATAAGACAATGACGGCAGGTAATAGAGAAGT